CAAGGGACTCAACAGGTAAACACAATAATAGAAGTTTTCAACCTTGTTTTTTCCGTTAGGTGGTTAAGTTTGGTTGACTATGTTATGGGGAACAGGATAGTGACGAGGGGTGTAATGGGTGAGCAACATAGATTAAATGAATTCGTGCACAAACAGCGTATATTGCATTTCTACAGTTTCTTGTGTACTAAACATTGTGGAGATGCACTAGTTCAAGTGACAAAGTATGGGTCATTGAGCTATATAAGGGTCATGATGCGTGCATTCAGTCACTCCAGTATGTAATAAGTATTCTGCGAGGTTCTTGCAGGTACTATGATAGTAGCGGGGGTGTTCTGTGGCTTGATTCTGTTTATGAAATGGTAGCACAAAATGCTAAGCCCCAAGATTTAGTCTCGGATTTATCATATAAGCAATTAGATCTTGTAACCATTGTTCATATAGCTCCTCCCCCTCCACCACCCTCATGGGGAGAAGACAGAGAAACTGGGGACGAGACAGGGTAGTGCGGGGAGTGCCTCTACCTATGACCCACTGTCAGCTGAATGGACAAGCACCATGACAAAAACCATCAGCACGGTATTATACACACACTTTTATAAAGGCCCGCTCAGTGTTCAGCAGGGAATGGCGGCACACTTTACTCTTAGTTGCTATTTGTGATGATGATGTCGGTGAAAGTGTTTGCTCAGTACCAGATCTCGTTAACGAGTGTCATGATGTAAGCCAGAGTTGCAAACTGAATGAATTTTCTTATGATTATAATAAATGTTTTTTTCAGATCACCAGTATACAACTCCTAAGAGAAACAAAGAAAATATTGACTGTAGTAGCGTTTTAGGTGCGTTGATCGCAATGGTTTATCCCATGGGTTAGCTCTATTATATTTGTTTTAAGCGCCATGCGCACTCTTTGGCGGCAGCTAGCGCGCTTTCTGCGGACGCCGACTGTAGTAAATTGCATTGCTATCGCCATTAATAAGTTCACTCCCTCGCGCACACAAAACTAAGAGCAGCACTTAGCGCTCGACACGGTTTCCAAAAGCCAAACTTCCCCACGGAAATGCGCGACTCAACGCATGAGGTACAGAGCCGTATAGTCTTCTGTTTCGAAGAGTGCTGAGGCGGAAGAAGTCTTCGACTGGACCATCTGCATGGGAGGCAACAACGACTCGTCAGCGACTACGAGCCTGCGACGAAAAAGCGTCGCTTGGATCTGGAAGCTTTTATTGCGATGGACTGCTGCTCAGGAATCCTTCTGGACCCGATCTCGGAGGTCTCCTGACGATCTTGCCAAGCGTCAATCGGTATGATTTGTCGATATGGTGGACTGGTCATCAATGACAAATTGGGAAACAGTTGCTCGCAAGAGGAGACACAAAAGAAAAGGGCGAAGAGGAACCAAGAAGAGGCGGAGCGCAAACCGGTTGCAGCTCATTTACGAGAATCTAGTCATGCGTAGCGTGGACATGGAGCGCGAAACAATGAGTGGCTGCGGAGCGATCATGGGACGAAGGAGGACCCCGTGCTGGATGATGGAGTCGCGTCGTCAGGGGGCTGAGTCTGTTGCGCAAAGCCTCGCCGCTGAGCTAGAGAGATGATCTGAACATGGTGGTCGCCGCTCACGTGCGACAGTTCTACTAGCTCCAGGAGCGACTTGGAGAGCAACGGCAGCAGTCGACGGAATAGCCGTATATCCTAGCAGTGCCGTCGTCTGAACAGCACATCTACGGGATTTTGCCGTAAGTTGTGTGTTCTATGATCCCCACCATCAGTGCACAGTCGCAGGTGTCTGTCGCTAAAGCGTAAGCTATGATCAGACCTCCTGTAAGAGCGCCTTCTTTCTGTTTGGTCTCTTATCAGGAGCTCGTAGTATTAGCTAAAGTGTGTTAAATTCTTTTTTAGAACCAGACATCGCGACAAGTGGACCATACCACGCTACGCTCAACCACACACCAACTCCCTAGATGTACAACAATCGAGACACGACCAATCCCGAACCTCGCTCTCTCAAAACTCAACTTGCTACCCATCGCAGTTCAGAGAACCCAATCTGACGTTCAGAGCTTGACACAGGCACTGCGTCATCCGTCCTAAGAGTGAGTCGCCCTAGCTAAACATTATGTACACAACTCAATCCAAGTCCTGCATTATATCAGTATCAGGCCACTATTCTTATTTGCCTGCTATGCAAGCGAAAAGGACTCAGGTGTTTACAATACGCTAGTGGACTAAGCTGTATAGTAAAGTACTATTACTACATATACACGTAACAGTAACAATGAAAGTTCATACTTGTTTCCGGCTGCTTAGGTCCTGCACTATCAAGGAGCAAATAGGTGCTCAACACTGACATTGGGACCACAACTCAAACAGAGAGCATGGACGAGGATGATTGTACCTGGGGACAGTGGAGTGGGTACGGGTCTGGTAGTGCCAAACTATGTGATGTGAGATTGGAAACGTGAATGACGCAACCTCCACCCGGCTGGTAAAGACAATAATAATACTCTCAAGGATCCACAACAGCTAAATGCAAGTTGTTACCGACAAAACCAGCATCAGAAGTCATCGAAGGCTACTACAGATGTTGAAGTATAGCTAGACTAACATGTGGTGTTTTGGTGCTGTATTGTCAGCAGACATTTCTGCAGATGATACAGAAAAGGAGAATTTGTATACAGGACTGAGAGAAGGAACGAAAGAGAGAGGTATGGCCTTCAATGCATGGCTACAGCTCTGTCTTTCATTGACATCCACAACTTTTTTTTGCAGCTCATTCTTATCAAGGACTGAAGCGTGGCTTTCCGTTGTCCTAATCTGTTTTTGTTTCTCTGTGTTTTTGTCTGTTAATCAATAATTCATTTTGTATGTGCATATTGTTGGTTTTTTTTGTTTTCGATTATAGTCACACCAGGATTTAGCGCCCCAAACTGTAGCTCGTCAGCACCAGACCGTACACTTGCGCATGCGCTATATGCGCGCGCGACCGCGCGTGGGTTTGCGCGAAAGCGTAGAGACAAGGGGTCAGGTATAGTGCAGAGCTGAGGGAGAAACCCAGGGAAAAACCTTCCACCTACACTTGCACCGCTGCGCGAGCGTCACTCGTGCTGCGGTCTCGCATGCGACTACTTATCACGGAACTCGTCGCTAAATGCTCAATGCAGTTTTCCCACTCCACGCTAACAGTGCTGCCAGGGACCAGTGCCAAGATGTCCGACGGGGGATTAGTAGATGTGCTTCCTGTGACAGTGAGTTCAGAGATTATCATTGCTTCTTTTGCGAAGGAGTTGGCGGCAGAAGAAGTGTACCACGTGGCGTACGTATGGTTGCAGAAACGGGGAGATGTCGACCTATTTTTGCCGTCATGCAAGCCAAAGGTCTGCGGACTTGAGCTGTTTGCAAAGTTAGAATGCTCGGGAGTATTTTCCAGAAAAGATCTTAGCGGACTGCGGGACATAGCAAAGAGGATCAACCGGTCCGATTTAGTTGAAAAAGTGGATGCTTTTACGAAGGACGCAATATCGAAAAAAAAGCGAAGAACCAGTGAAAAGAAGTGTCTGCAGAAGAAAAGCAGCGAAGAGCGGCAGGAATTAGAGAGAACTTTTGAGTCGATGGTGGTGCAAATGACTGTTTTAGAGAAGCATATCAGTCTCCTGCAAAGAACACTTTGCCAACAGAAAACCGACTTCGAACTAATGGACGAAGGACAGGAAATAATCGAACATTTAAGTGAGATTGCACAGAACCTGACCTTAAATTTGAGCCAGGTTCAGAAAAGACTTGCAAACAGGTCTCGAACCAACAGTTCAGCAAGTGGAAGCAGTGACGGCAGTAACGGCAGACCCAGCAGTGGGTGGGGAAGTTTCACAAGTTGAATCAGCTCCATGTAAGCCTGTGTAGGTATTTTGCCGTGCATGCAAGTACTGTTTATTTAGGAACTGAGAAATCGATAATCATAGTGTACATGTGAGATCACATGTCATTAGTGTTATGCTCCCTAGCCCCTACAGATGTGGTTGCTGCACCACCGAAGATTTCCCTACGTTCAGAGTCACAGAGTAAAGGAGTTAAACCAAGTCCTAAGCCACGAACTCGTATTGGACGGTCATACCCCATCCAGGAATCAACAGGAGACTCAGTTCATCATCCATTAAGTATCGCACCTTCACATCCACTGCCACCACGTGAGTTTAGACTCTACATGCTCTGCAGTCTATAAATAGCTGCCATTCTTCACGTGGAAGGCATGCTTTGAGAAAAAAAATTGCTTTCCTCCTCAAAGGTTTCCAGCTATACTGTATGCTAATATACAGTAGAAACTCATTGATACAAATTCCATAGGATGATGAATGATTATCAGGTGGTTTGTATAAAGTATTCACTCTGTGTAATATATCACAGCTCAAGTGCTACCCAGAAGGAATAGGGAGAACACTGCTGTTACCTCTGTCCCAAGTTCGCGTTCTCCCATCCCTAAGCTCTCGGTTCCAGAGGTAAGATTGGAAGAAGATGAAGGGACAGGAGATAGTGGTATGGAGTAGGTTCTGGCAGTGCGTACTCTACCCCTCACCTGTGGAGACATGATCCCATTCAAACAACACTCCGAGGTGAGCTTAATTTTGGATGTGTGATGACTTACTAACGACTATTATGCTATTACTATGTATATACAGAGAAGAAAAAGGCGACACGCATATACATGTCACTTAAAGATGAAACACGAGATGAAGGTCAGCACTTTCAGTCGCACAGATATGCATTTTATTATGGCTGCCTGTTTATTGTAGATCTTCCTTATGAACCGATGGACTACAAGAATGAAACCTAACAATCCCAGCTATAGTATAAGATTCACTACTTACTGAATAACTTTTATCAAAGTGATACTGAAACCCGAGGCTCACTTACGTGTGTGCCTACGCAAACTAATTTATAATCACGGGGTATCACGTGACTTATAAACGGCATTTTGATTGGTTGTCTTGCGTAACGCGCTAAGGTGCGCGCGCACCCCTGACCCTCGCAAGCCCACACGCACGATCGAATCGTCATCGCCGGCGCGAAAAATATATACGCACACAAGCAATACCCACGCATACACTGCGGCAATCATGGAACAGAGCGATCGCATCTCTTACGGAAGGATTCTCAGCTCTTTTGCTCGTGAACTGGACGCCGAAGAAGTTGAGCAACTGGTTTTCATCTACCTCAGGGATAGTGGAAATGCCCCCGTCGACTGCAATGCGAAAGGGGCCGCTTTTCGCGTTGTTGATGAAACTAGAGCGCCTTTCTCGTTTCTCGTTTGAGGATCCCGGTGGTCTCGTCCGGATAGCCACGGACGCCGGACGGTTAGACTGGAAGAAAAAATTTGAACAGTACATTGCTAGCCGTCGCAACCCACTTCCGAAGAGAAAGGGAGGAAGTCGCACGCCGCTGCCGAGCAAAGAGCAGGAACAGTTGGAGGATGCGCATAGGGAAGTTCGAGCAAGGTTTATTGCTGTTGAAGAGCAGTTCAGCAAACTATGGTCACGTGAAACTGTGACAAAAGAAGATGGGTTGAAACTCCTACGACGGGGCAAAAAGTTAACGAAGGAAATCGAGTGTGAGCTGGAGAAAGGCATTGAAAAGCTAAAAACGCTTACGAGAGACAGTGATAGTCTCAGCAGCAGTGGGAGTAGCAGTAGCATCGAGCTCAGCACTAGCCCTGAAGCAAGCAGCAGTTTGACATGTAAGTGGGCAGGATATAAGTGCAAGTAGCTATAATTATCTTGCATTCTTGATGGTTTCCTATAATACAGCTCGAAGCAGAGGGGAACGAAACCGAGATGTCCCACTGCCTAAGCCTCGTAAACCAAAGCCGCCACCCCCCTACAAGCAGAAGTACAAAGCAGCCGTTCAAGAGAAAACAAGACACAACTCTCCCATGCTCAAACCCTCGAATAAGATTGATTCATTGCAGGCACCTGACCAACCACGTATGTATCTCTGCACACAGAGCACATTCTTCCGTACACCTGCAAAGTGAACACGATAATGGGATTACCTATTTAGCTACAATAACCTTTTAAATTCCACAACCCTAATAAAGGGTGACTATAATATCAAATATCAAGCAATGCCTTCGAGCTATACACCCTGACACAGCTATATGGCTCTTGGTATCCACAGCCCCTGTGCCTCCCAAGAAGCAACACTCTCCTCGAATTTCTGGGACGAGACAGTCAGCGATGTCACAGATGTGCTTCAACAAGGCTTCAGTGTGCATACCTCAACAGAAGAAAGAGAGTGACGAGGAGGAGTCCAAGGAAGTGGCAGTGGAGGAAGGAGATCAGACTGGAGACAGTGGCATGGAGAGTGGGTCTGGCTCTGTGCAACATGGAACTATCAGCCAATGGAGAGAGGCTATAAAGAAACCTCCACCAGGTAATAGTATAAGCTACCAGCACATGAAAACTGTTATCTGTTAATACAAAATTCAATGAGGTGTGACTGTTTTTCTGTAGAACCTAAAAACTACCCACCAAAAGAAGGAGAGAAGATGGATGAATGTATGTTTTATCATCAAAAACGACCTGTAGCTATAATGGTCATAACATTTGTCTTAAGCAGATGACAGCTTTTTTTCTTCATCTCAGGTGTTTCAGAAACCAAAAAACGATACACACATCTCAGGGAGGAAACAATAGATAGAGGTACTTAAATGCCTCTGATTATTAGAGTTTGGTCTTACATAGCGATTCTCTTATGCAGTGGGACCTTATGAAAAAGTGAACTATGGCTCTCCGTTGTCCTGAGCTGATCTCGTGTACTGTGTTGATTTAATGTGCATGTCTTCCTTATGAACCGATGGACTACATGAATGAAACCTAACAATCCCAGCAGTCATGATTTTATACTTACTGATGAACAACCTTTATAAAAGGGCAAACCCTCGGCGAACTACGCATGCGCGGTGCCGCTAAATAAAAAATTTTTAGGGCTAGGCCAGCTATTAGCGTTTACCCGCGGTCTCCCGCTAGTAGCCGGCGGAGAGTCTGACACGGGCTAGCTACGGTATTAGATAGCATGCGGGAGTCGATACACGCGCCTTCGCGGTGGCTTCTTGTGCCTCCAAGGTGACAGAGCAAGCGGATCAGGTCGAGGTGTGCCAGCATCACGCGTTGATCGCGTCTAGTATACGCATGCGCACCGCTTATTGATGGGTTGGGCCGGGCCACGCAACGCGGTCCGTGACTGTGCCAGTTTGTCGCTCTCGAACGCAGTCGTTTCAGGGAAATCGCCCTTTTCTTTTTCAGGCTCGTGAATGAAACCTAACAATCCAAGCCGCTGGTATCGCTAATGGGCCGCCTCGTAGCCTGTAGTGCCAGAATAAGCGTCGAGTCGTCGACACACATACACACGTACACACAACTACCGTAACCCTCGCTGCGCATGCGCGCCGAGGGTTAATGCACGCGTGTAATCTCACGGGGTATCACGTGACTTCACGTCATTTCAGCGCGCGCGTAGGTCGTCATACACCCGTATGAGAAACGATTACGTAATCCAGCACGGGCGGGGCGTGACACCGTGGCTATAAAGAGTAATGCAATGGCGTTGCAAGCATCAACTTTTTATAGCCATGGCAGGCTATAACGTCAAAGACACGAAAGTATACACCCCGCAAGGTACTGCGCTGAAGCTGGACCAACTGACGTCGCTTCTGTGTGCAGTGTGCGGATTCGTTCTCCGCGAGTCGATGCAGGTGACGCGCTGCGGACATCGCTTCTGTAAAGTCTGCATTGACAAAATGCTGAACACCAGGTTAGTCTGACTCCTTTTACTGCAATTTATTAATTAACGATATTCATGAATGCAGCGGTGACGACAATCTTATGTGCCCTGTTGATAAAGAACACTTTGAAAGAGCTGAAGTAAGTGTCTTGCAAGGCACGTGAGGCATTAAAATATCAGAAAGTGTTGTTGTTACCCTCGGCGCGAATGCGCAGCGAGGGTACAGTAGTTGGGTTTGTCTGTCTGTCTGTTTGTCTGTCTGTTACTCTATATCTCACTCCACGAACGTCTGTTCGTCCCAGAAACGATACCATCTACCCAACGGGCGACTAAGGTCAGAAAATAAAGGCGGTTTTCTCTGAAAATGCTCCGTTGCAAAGCTAGAGCGCGAAAAAGCCAATATGCAAATAACACGACGAACGGCATGGCTTACCACAGTCGGATCGACCCGCGTGCTCTGCGTACTTCGGAGGCACCAGAAGATGCAACGCAGGGCGTGTATCGCCTCTCGCATGCTATCTAGTAGTGTAGTTAGCCCGCGTCAGACTCTGCGCGAGCTGGCAAGAGACCACGAGTAACAGCTAAAACTAAACCCAGCCCATCAAATAGTGATACGGCGCATGCGTTTACTTACGCGTGCGCGTCACAGTGCACCGAGGGTTTGCACTTCAGTGCTTTTCATTTGATAGGTGAGGAAGGACAGAGGCTGTCAGAGGGAAGTCGATTGTCCAACTCCACAATTAGACCCGAGGGCTATTTATCTTCCTGGTATCAAGGAAGTTGGTGAAAAATCTGTAGGTTCATTTGGAAACCTTCCTAATCTCTTTGATAGTGCAATCAGCACCACCCACCGAGAGTACCCCATGCTGCAGTTTCCCAGAAACCAATTACGTAAGACAACCATCACACAAAATGTCGACTCGGAACATCGCATGCATCGTCAATCTAGCGAACTTCACTCAGATTACTACAGTGACTCTAATAGTCGTCTTACCAGTGAGCACCACAGCAGTAGATGTGGTGCTGGAACTAGAACTGATCGCAGCGACTACTACAGCGAAGATCAAAGTGGTAGACACAGCCTGCGCCATGAGTACCCCAAGCATCCGATTTTGGCTTCCCAAAAGACGTCATCTCATGAGCATCCACCTATTGCTCCTATGATAGAGTTTGGCTCTCAGAATCTCTATCACAATGCCGCTCTAGAAATGGACAAGGAAGAGGAGGTTGTAGATAGCATTGTTCAGGAGGCTATCATGGGCTACCTCGTACACCAGGATAGTTGCTCCATTTTCAGGTGCCCCTGTAAAAAGATAAAAAAGCGATTCCATCACCTGATTCCGCTGGCCTATCGGCACATGCAAAATGAGGCACAGATTGACCGAGAGAATGGCCAGAGTAGGCAGCTTCTTCAGTTGCCACCACATGGTACACACAAACACAAGGCATCAACAGAGCAACCGGATACACATGGAGCTTCCGTATCATTTCAACTGCAAAAGCCCACTCGGAGTCAATCTCCCCAGTGCTGTCAGGAGTCACATCCCCGTGCAAATGTTATTCCAGAATGCTTGACTCAAACCACAACCTTGTTTCGATGCTCCAGCAAAAGGATGAAATTTGAAGACGAGGCTAATGACTTTAGCTTGGAAATTCCAGAGGGAGCAATTCCTGAAGGAGAGAGTTTGACCATCGATATTGCTGTAGCTCTCCACGGTCAATTCCAATTTCCAGAAGGGTTGAGACCAGTGTCTCCCATTTTCTGGGTCTGTGTTCGTGACCAGCCCAGCATTCAGTTCTCAAAGCCCATCACAGTAAATATCCCTCATCTTCTCAATCTCAAGAATTACAATGAGATCAAATCCCTTGGCCTAACTTTTCTCAAAGCTGACCACGAAATGAACTCAGAGAAAATGTATGAATTTCACCCTACCGATGGGACTATGATATTTGAACCTCTTAAGGGGTGTGGTGTTTTAAAAACCGCTCACTTCTGCTCTTTGTGCATCGCCTGCCGAGACACACCAGAGTGTCTGGAAAAAGCTCCATTCTGCATCAATGCCATCCTTCCCAGTGCTGCCATTCCTGTCGGCAAGAAGGTGTATGGCTACTTCTTCATTACATTTCTTAACCTGCAAACATGTCTGGTGAAGGTGGACGAACTGGTGGCAAAAATGCCAAAGGCAGGGCACTATGAGAGGGATATGCAACCTTTTGAATTCCAAACCGAAACCCAGCGTGATCCTGCACTCGAAATAGCCATCACTCAACCGAAACACGGCAAAATTGGGCTAAAAGGGAACAGAAGGGTAAGCCTACACTGCGGTGTTATAACCGAGGCCTTCTCCTTATGTCATTTTTTGTGGGTGAGGAGTGAGGGTTACAATATCAATTCTCAAATATACAGATTCTTCGAAGTCAGGTAGACTTTTTCATAAGGAAGAAGATTTCAGAGGATGAGTTGCAGTCTCAGGAGTGCAGAGATCTCTACCCTCCTCGATTCCGAGTGTTCTTCTCCTGCTCACAAAGAGGTGCCGCTCTGAGTGACGCCAAGATTGCCTTCATTGGAGCCACAAATGATCCCGAATTTGACATATACCTTGAATTTCCGGACCACGAATTATCTGGTATGTGACTTCACTGGATTTGAATGCTATGCAAATTCTTCCTCCCCTCTCTTATAGCCAACGCTGAGATGAAAACTGTTGATGAAAAAATCAAACCGCTAGGTACGAGTGATGAGTTTAACTATTGAATTTTACTATCATTATTATCATCAAACAGTAACTTTGCTGTTTTTCTTTAGATATTAATGACCTTTTTAAAGTGAAGTCCAAACTCATTGGAGCGACCAACAGATGGAAGGACATTGGATTAGCTCTAGGACTGACGAATTCTCAACTGGACTCCATTCTGAGCAATAGCAAAACCATTGAAGAGTGTCTTACAGCCATGTTGACCGACTGGCTGAACAAAGCCTATGACACCGCTAAGCATAGAGAGCCAACATGGCAGAGACTGGCTGAGGCTGTTTGTGCTCCAGCTGGGGGTAATAATCCTGCTCTGGCCAGCAGCCTTCCACCCACTGCAGAGGTCACAACCGAGACTCTTTGCTAATGAAATTGGGAATTCTCACTGCTAATTTGGGAATGGTCCCAGTGTGTATATTGCAACGTTGTCATATACACGCGAGCTGCCTTCCCTATATACTGCGGCTGGTTGAGCGATGAATGCTGGCTAACATTGTTACCTTAGTGCTTGATCTTAGCGCACAGTGCGTATGCGAATTGCGCATCCTGTCGACCGGCTCATCGCGCATCCTGTCGACCGGCTCTTCGCGCATCCTGTCGACCGGCTCATCGCGCACAAGCGGCGATTTCCACAGAAGCGACAGTCGTTCACACTGCATTGGCTAAAACCTCTAAAGCGGTTCTAGCTCCAAACTTGTTTTTTAGTACACCCTGCGGACTTGAACTGTTTGCAAAGTTAGAATGCTCGGGAGTATTTTCCACAAAAGGACTGCGGGACATAGCAAAGAGGATCAACCGGTCCGATTTAGTTGAAAAAGTGGATGCTTTTATGAAGGACGCATCGAAAAAGAAGCGAAGAACCAGTGAAAAGAAGTTTCTGCATAAGAAAAGCAGCGAAGAGCGGCAGGAATTAGAGATAACTTTTGAGTCGATGATGGTGCAAATAGCTGTTTTAGAGCAGCATATCAGTCTCCTGCAAAGCACAAGTGCTACCCAGAAGGAATAGGGAGAACACTGCTGTTACCTCTGTCCCAAGTTCGCGTTCTCCCATCCCTAAGCTCTCGGTTCCAGAGGTAAGATTGGAAGAAGATGAAGGGACAGGAGATAGTGGTATGGAGTCAGGTTCTGGCAGTGCGTACTCTACCCCTCACCTGTGGAGACATCCCATTCAAACAACACTCCGAGGTAAGCTTAATTTTGGATGTGTGATGACTTATTAACGACTATTATGCTATTACTATGTACAGAGAGGAAGAAGGCAACACGCATATACATGTCACTTAAAGATGAAACTCGAGATGAAGGTCAGCACTTTCAGTCGCACAGATAAGCATTTTATCATGGCTGCCTGTTTATTGTAGATCTTCCTTATGAACCGATGGACTACAGGAACGAAACCTAACAATCCCAGCAGTCATATACTTACTGATGAACAACCTTTATTGACGTGATAATGAAAACCCAAGGCTCACTCACGCGTGCGCGCGCAATCTTCAGTAGTAATCTCACGGGGTATCACGTGACTTTACGTCATTTCGTTATTGGTCGTCTTGCGCTGACTACACCCGTATGAAAACCTTAGCTGCTATTTTTAGTCTGCATATACGATATACGTAATCCAGCACGCGCGGGGCGTGACACCGTGGCTATAAAAGAGTAATGCAATGGCGTTGCAAGCATCAACTTTTTATAGCCATGGCAGGCTATAACGTCAAAGACACGAAAGTATACACCCCGCAAGGTACTGCGCTGAAGCTGGACCAACTGACGTCGCTTCTGTGTGCAGTGTGCGGATTCGTTCTCCGCGAGTCGATGCAGGTGACGCGCTGCGGACATCGCTTCTGTAAAGTCTGCATTGACAAAATGCTGAACACCAGGTTAGTCTGACTCCTTTTAGTGCAATTAACGATATTCATGAATGCAGCGGTGACGACAATCTTATGTGCCCTGTTGATAAAGAACACTTCGAAAGAGCCGAAGTAAGTGTCTTCACTGTCTTGCAAGGCACGTGAGGCATTAAAATATCAGAAAGTGTTGCTGTTTGATAGGTGAGGAAGGACAGAGGCTGTCAGAGGGAAATAGGTGCACTAGAAATCGATTGTCCCACTCGGCCAGATCCCTGCTCCTGGAGAGGACCGCTGGTGGAGATTGAGGTATAATTATAGATAACAATCCTCTTAGCTATGCATTACTCGCTTTCCCCTGCAATAAAACTCTTGCAGAAACGCACGAAATTTCCCACTAAGTCAACAAAAATTTATGCTGCATCACACTATTGGCACATGATCAGCCACATCATTGCACCATCACCTTGAAATTCAAAGCATATCTTGTGACCTATACAAAATGAAGTAATAGGTATGTATAGTCCACTTAAACGGACTTAATCATTGCAGGTTCATCAGCTGAAATGTCCCAATGCTCTGGTCAGCTGTACACTCAACTGTGGTATGGACCTTGGAAGAGAGGAGATAGCTCTACATCTTACCAATGACTGTCCCAAGAGAGAAGTAGTTTGTCAGCATTGCAAAAAGGGATTTGCCTCACATTCCATAGAAGTGAGTCAGCCTTTGTGGTTTTTGTTAGGGACAGTTCTCATGTCTTTACCTAAAAAGTACACAATTTGCCATTTATAGTTGCAATAGGTCATTCATAAAGTATTCATTGTGTTACATGCGTCACCATTACAGAGTCATTTCATGGAATGTGGGGAATTTCCTGTGGCATGTGAATATTGTCAGTTGATCATGCCAAACCGGAAGTCTGTAAGTCTACCCAGGTCTTATACATTTTGATGACGTGCATATGCCTCTATATACTTTCAGATACAGAAACACCTTCAGAATGAGTGTCAAAGGTATGATGAGATGAAGTGTCCTATGAACTGCCCCAAGGACTTCAAGGTATATAGCTATAAATAGAACTCATCAATGATATGGTGTGATCTCTTGTACTTCAGGGCGACCGAGAAAGCGTAAACAGCCACTTGAAAGACCACCTGTTGGACATGTCACGACTTCTCAACACAGCTCTGTCTCGTATTGAGGCTCTTGAAACCAAAATCACTCAGGTGTTGGAAGAATCTAACAGAGAACGTGTTGAAATGCGCATGGAAATTACCGAACTCAAAAAAGCAATGAGAAATGGACAAACCACAAATACCGAAAAGTCCCCAACAGCCAAGCTAGTAGCAAAGAACGAAAGTACAAATGGAAGTGTAAGTGCTTCAAATTCACTCCAGCCTTTGTCAGTCCCATCTGTCAAGAATTATGCACACAACTCGGGAGTCACTAGATGGGAAGAACCGAAGACTGTGCAGAGAGAGGACGCAGGAATGAAAGAGGAAATACGATCACAGGAGACTCGACTCATGAAATGAGCGAAACACTGCAGACAGTGCAGAGCAACTAACACAGCATTCGATAGCAATTGATGAGGTTCGTCTACGGCAGGATATACTAGATGTCAAGGTCACCAACGGAGTATTGATTTGGAAGATTCCTGATCTCCGGAGGAGATACCGAGATGCGATTGATCGACGTACCACCAGTCTTTATTCTCCCCCATTTTACACCAGTCCTCACGGGTACCGAATGTGCATCCGTACCTACCTCAACGGAGACGGAATTGGCAAAGGCACGCATATTTCCATGTTTTTCGTCATCATGCGCTCGGAGCACGACAACCTTCTCCCCTGGCCATTCAAGCAGTCAGTTCGCTTCACACTCATCAACCAGAAGAACCCAGGAGCCAGTGTCTCAGAGGCATTTGTTCCCGGACATCAAAGCTCTTCCTTTCAGAAGCCTGAAAATGATATGAATGTGGCCAGTGGATTCCCCAAGTTTGCTCGCCAGTCGGTACTGCAGGACGAGCAGTTCACATTAGGGAACATGATTTACATCAAATGCCAGGTAGATATCACTGGACTCAAACTAGATTGAAACATTGCTAGGCAATCCATTGATAAAAGATCACCAATACCTTCATAGAATAATAATTATTTAATCATTGACTGTTGTATTTGCACATAATATTTGTCTTGTATCATCGACGACTGCATGCTCAGCATGTTTCAGCGTACACTCACGTGATATGAGACGGAAATATGCGCATGCGTATGTTTCATTACACCGACCCGGACGCCAGTTCTGATCAGATATACAACTTGTTTTTGTGGTGTAAAGCGATAAGTTTCTTGGTGAGTTTTAAATGTCGATCAATGTGTACATGTGTACGTAACGCGTTCACTCTGTTCTTCGCGCTGCACTCGCGATCATCGTGGTATTGTGATTTCGATATAGGAATTTGTTTACCACGATCTATTTTAGTATGGAAGTTGCACTGACGCTCTTTGCCGTTTTAGTCAGTTCGTGTTGGGCTGAGCTAAGTGACTCGAAATGGCTGATGGTCAAACGGGAAGGGCCCTAGCAAGTCATCGTTTCGCGGTAGCGTAGCTAGGTCATCAGCTCTATACCATGATACGGTAATATGAAAGTGTCGGCAAACAACGTTTCGTAACGGGACCGTAAGCGGAAACTATTGCCACCTGCAAAGAGAAGGGGCACACACATGACGTAACAGAAATACCGAAGATAGCTATATACTCCCTTTCATTCTGCATTGGTGACTTTATTCCTCTCCCGTCAGCAGCATTATGACGACACGAATATCACTTTTGAGCGCAATGAAGGCCCTCAAGCCTCTTAATGTGGAGAATACCAAATCTCTGATGCTCCATGTTGGTGTCAATATCAATGATCTTGACGATATTCAGTTCACGCACCGTGATGCAAGCAATCAAAAAATGCATCTTATTCAGAAATGGTTGGAGATTGATGTCGATGCCAGCTGGGAAAGGCTTGTCGCAGCCCTTAGACAAATTGATATGCACACTTTTGCCGTTGAGATTGAGCTAAATAATTCGGAGTCAAAGCGCTAGTCCCCATTCATGATTCATGTGATCCTGTATCTCAAGCGCCACTTCATCCCTGGTGCTATCTGGCGAGGAGAATATTATCGAAAAGGTTAAGGAAAGGATCGAATATCTTGAAGATGAATTTTCAAACTAAAAGTGACATGCGAGTATCACTCTCCGACAGAGAAAAGCAAGATCGAACGTTTTGGAAAGGTTCTGTGATTTTCTTCTTGATCTCCCTGTTGCCAAACGAGTTATACACGTAAAGTTTTTTCCGAGAAAGCGAAGATGAAATTCTTGAAGCAAAAAATATCAGAAAGCTGTTTGCTATCCTTGGCCGTTACTGTAACTATTCGAACTATGAGATAATTGTGCATGTTATAAAGAAATATGGCGGTGTTGAAATAAAAGCAAGAATGATAAAGTATTGTGATTCAATAAAGAAATTTGAAGTAAGCACGATAGTGGCTATCTACTTGAAAGCCATTTCAGCTCACCCAGGTGGTGAAATCTGCAAAAGATTCGATCGAATGGCTGTGAAAATCAACAAGTCGATAAATGAATGCACCTTGCATGAGATCCGCCAACTGAAAGAGGCTATTGCTGAAAATGCATCCGTTCACTCGTATAGCATGTATATTGAAAGTGTTGCTGAGAGCTCTGTTCTGGTAGTGCTGCGTGTTCATTCCGCCTGTACAAAGCAGGTGTATGCAGCTATGACACCTGACTTCACCTACCTGTACAACCTGAATGATATAAAGATGACAGAGAATGGTAAAATACATTAACTCTTACTACTGTAGCTAGTAGGCGAGCGAGGCTAACCAACCCAGTCACACGGTTTTCGATACACAATGTTTTCCCATGGAATAATAATGTAAGAATGTAAGTGCTGGTTAAAATAGACAAAATGGAATTTATATGCTGCATTATGTTGTTATGCTCATCAAAAATGCACCCATTCATTGTAGTGTTTGTTTTTAAGGCCGGAGTGTTTGTTTGACAATAGTAGTATATATCTACACAACTTTTCTTACCAGCAGCGCAGAGTAGTTACAAATCTTTGGTTGGAAGTGAAGAGAGTGAAGCAGAGGAGGACCATCATGAAATAGAAGGTCATTCCCCACCATCAACACCAACTTGTGAGTTCAGTGTGAAAGCATTAATTTTACAATTGTTGGCATCCGTGTGCAGCCATGGCTTCTAATTTGGAATATTATTATAATTCCTCTGTCTGCTATATACATCATTTATACACAAGTTGGCATTGGCTTTCAACTATTTTTTCAAAGTTGAAGATGCTCAACCTCGGCTACTGGTCAGAAAGACAGAGGATGAAAAGAAGACTGTAACCGCAGCAATCTTTCGTGGCATAGGGACTGGACCAAGACAGCAAGTACCTCCCCATAATGGTATATAATACAAGCAAATGTATGTCGTAATTTCCTTCCTGTGATGAAATAATTGTGATATGCCATTGGTGGCCATGCGTTGGTTTTTAAGGTTTTTTCCAATTCACACACCATCAGTCAGGATGACAGAAGATGACGATCAGACTGGAGACAGTGGAATGGGAACTGGGTCTGACGATCCGTGGGATGTTCGAAGTTTCCCTTTTCATCGAAATGGTAATGCATTTGATTATGCTGATTCTTAAAGTAGAGTTAAGTAACCAGTGTACTGGCAAAGTGAAACCCTCCAGTGGCTGTGCTTTAGATATCTTTTTTCGGCTACCAGTCAGGATGACAGAGAATGATGATGAGACCGCAGACATGAGAACTGGTGTTCCCCCCTTTCGTCCCATTCGTCGGATAAGAGGTGGACGAACAGATGTATCTTCAGATAAAGGTAATACAAGCAAGTGTACGCGATGATTTTCCTTTATGTAGAACAGTGTGATATGACTACAGTACACATAATGCATTATGCTGTAAGAAAGTCTAGTGCCTATTATGTAATTGTGCTGGCTTTGTTGGTGATTGATGTGGTGTGGTATATACTACTGATTATGGTGTGGCTGAGTCCGACACCCTTCCAATAGTTCATACTTCTTTTAGTAGTAGTTTGGAAGAGCGAGTTCTTGGACAGCAGTAAAACAGTATGTACTTGCTGAGCATGTTCATGCATGCCAGAATGCAGCTAAGCTTACTGGGCACTACGCAAGGAAGTGCATAACAATGGCACACATGGACAACACTGGAAGGGGAATGTCATTTCATAATCCATAGTGGGGGTTATTACATGTTTTTCCAGGAACATTTCATTTACTCTCCATACAGGTATATACACTCCTTTAAATGCAGACGAAGTGACAGTAAATACATATACAACTCCCTTCGATCTGAACAGGCGTTTAGGTGCTTCCAATCCCTCTATGGAAACAAGTAAGTCCACGACAGCACTAGGACAGAACTGGCGCAGTCTTACGATTGTGATTTCACTTGGCACAGACTTAAACAGATTCGTGCTATTGGAAGTGGTTAAGGTTCTTGAATCATCCAAGGTGCAGGAGACGATATTAGCACAGAAAGTTAAGGCAATGTTATTTCAGAACATTCCTCCAACAACAGAAGTCAACGAACCATTTTTGACCATGTAAGTTAAGCTCTTTATAATAGTGGTAATATGGATTATGGTGATGGTATGAAGCAAAGCTGAATGGCAGATTTTTAACCACTAATATATACCACATCAAAAATGTACTACCACAATACTGATCATAGCAACACTTCAAGGTACTTGCTGATCCAACATGTATTAGTTAACGTATAGGCGGCGAGGCGGTACAGGAGATACTCCGAGGCTGTTGACTATACCGGACGAGGGCGTAGCCCGAGGCGCGGTATAGTTAACAGCCGAGGAGGATTTCCTGTACCCGCCAAGACGCCTGACGTTAACTGATTTGTAGTCCAACTAGCCAATCACAATGCTGAATTTCTGCTGCGTCATCTTGCACTAATGTACTAATGACTGTTGTGTAAACTTTGGAAGCCAGACAATTTGCACTACGCCTAGCGCTAGATGTTGTGATAAGGACTTCCTGTCCAATACTGATACCGGTGCAGCCCGCAGCCCACAGCTCAGAATACAGCGTATATTCCTAGCACCGGGTTGTTTGAAGTTGGACTACAAAAACCTATAATGCTCAACTGATTGGTGTGCAGCATACACAATGGAAACCTGTCACATTATTATTTATGATCCAATAGATTTACTTACCTAGGTGTCGTGCACACACAGGAAGGTGTGCGAACATGATGCAGCGTACTTAAAGGAAACACGTGGCGGTAGATAAGGGCCAAATTTAAAAGTGTTACTAAAGATAGAACTAATTATCATAAACAATGCAAGAATGCAATTAGTCTATTTTTCAGTAACAATTTCTAAATTTAGCCCTTATATTATACTGAAAACCCATGATTGCTTGCCATTATTCTTTTTCTATAGTGAATGTGGCAAGTACAAGACAGTGGATGTGGATAGAAATGGTGCAGAAAGGTAATTCTATAACCATCTCGAAAACAATAATAATGAAAGTGCAAACCCTCGGCGAACTGCGGTACCACTAATTGATGGGCTGGGCTTTTTATGCCTTTACTCGTGGTATCCCGCTAGTAGCTCGCGGAGAGTCTGACACGGGCTAGCTACAGTAGTAAATAGCATGCGGGAGTCGATACATGCCCTTCGTTGTGACTTGTTGTGCTTTCAAGACACACAGAGCGAACGGACGCGGTCGGGGTAAGCCTGTGCTAATTTACATATTGGCTTGTTCACTTGGTTTTCACGCCATAACTTTAAAACACAGTAGTTTTACGAAAATCGCCTTTTTTAAATCAACCCAGTGTAGCACTGAACCCATGCGCGCCGAGGGTTAATAATATAATGTGAAGCCTCTATTAGTTTGAGTTTGGTTTCACTAAAATAGATTGTTGGGGAATGATGATTGTAGCGAGGGAGCGTTCCTGATTCGTGATGGGCAGAATGCAAGATGTGAGAGGGTTCTTAGTGTGAGACTAGTCGAAAAGGAAGTCGGCCATTTTCGTATATACAAAGATCAGGTAAACTGTGAATTAAAATTCTTCCATAGAGAACGATTTTTCCTCTCCTACAGGGTTCAAGATATTTTTTGCATGGGACGTCAAAATTTGAATCTCTAGATGAATTAATTGACAATTACAAAGAAGAGGGTGACATGCATATAACTTGTAACAAAAGAGATTTCAAACTAGGTTCACCTGTGCACATTTGAATTCTATCTAGTATCTAGTCAAACAGTAAACTACCAGTGTGTAATAATTATTACAGGACTTTGTATGTATCATCACAACTGCAGCATGCTTGCCAGTACACCTCTATTCAGAGAGGCAGGCAACAAGAGTCTATATAGGCCTTACTTCACAGGGAAGACAAATCCTTTTCCACACCTCCAAGAGAGCCGGAAATCTGGAAATTTCACCTGAAGCCTTACAAATGACGGGGCAGGGAAAGCCGACTTTGGACATGTCTTCTTCCCTCACTCCATTAGAAACTCACGACAAGTCATGGAATCTATGGCCCGAGTGCTCTCTTCCGCTACATAATAATAAAGTACATGAGGTATAATCCATTCCACTACTGAGTGCATCACATGCATTAGGTCATTCTAGATGTGATGACATATGCACTTATCAGGTTCTCACTTCTCAGGCTTTCATACAAGTTCAGGGGCAAATGGTGAAGAAAGAATGGGCTCATGTGTTGGGTGGACGGGGAGTTCCAGCTATATACATGCACACACAGTTCTTGTGAAAGTTGACACATCTGTGTCAGTTATTACAGCTATGTATCTTTTGCCAGTTTTCTGCAAACATTAGACGAAAGACAGACGAAAGTTTGATAGCTAAAGAAACTTTCAATGGTGTCTCGTAAGATTTTTCCGCCATCGCTGCCGCGCACCGCGTAAACGACGCGCGCACACGTGACGCACGACGCCTATATGTCGGAGGCACGTGGCATGGACACCGGCTACTCCACTGGCCGCGCAAATCTTTACCGTGATAGGTCCTCCGCCTTGATGACATCTACAGAAATCAGTCGTCTGTCCTGCCCTAACTGTAAGAAGATTCTGAGGGATCCCCGGCAAGTCACAGTGTGCGGTTGTCGGTTCTGTGCTGGCTGCATTGATCAGAGACCAGCGCAGGGATGCAGGTAGGTAATGCATGAAATTATAGTTCATAGCATGTCATTCTCGCTTCGCTGCATGCCGTAGCTGAATGTCATGCGCGTATATACCAGTGCATGCGCGCATTGCGTAGCTATTTTCAGTGTTTGTTCATGGCGGGCCATTGGACAATGGGGAAGCTACATAACCACTCAATATTGTTTTATACACAGTGCTGAAAGTGTTTACACATGTGCTGTTGATGGAGCAAAGTACAAGAGGAGAGATGTAAGCAACAATGATGGATGAGGCACGTTGTACATTAAGGGGCATTGTCATGGTCTGGTATTTTGCACATTGGTACATCCCATTCATACGCACCATATAGTAGGCCTGCAAAATTGATTATTAGCAGGTCGTGGTAATACAATGCCTCATGCATGATCATCTCTCGACCGCAAACCACGTTCAATAATTCCTGTAGTATACGAGCGTGAACAGTGCTTTGACTGGTTTGTAGCAAGGTTTCCAGTGAATGGTAGGGCTCTCACGTGTCCATGGATCAGCGAACACTCAATTGCCACCCGAGCTCAAGGTGACTTTTGTAGCTCGTAGGACAGCCGCGCGAGACCGTTCAATATTATCTAGTGCACGGCAACTGATCGTCCACGCATCATGCTACAATGGGTAAGCACCAAAGTAATAAGCAGCTTTCATAATTATTCTTTGGGCTTTATTGTTACCTATCTTCTTAATAACCTTCTCAGGTTCGTAAGGACAGAGGTTGTCAAAGGGAGATAGAGTTTCTAGAGGTTGACTGCCCTACTCAACCACGTCCTTGTTTGTGGAGAGGCAAACTCACTGATATGGAGGTACTTACTGGTCTTGGAACATGTTACCCTAGCAATTAACACATTATAGGGTATGATTTATTGGCTAGTAGCAGCACCACAGCAGGCTGGAGATGGCATCCAGCTTTACAAGTCATGTAGAAGTCATTGCAGGCATGCTCTGCACTCATAGCGTATGGCTGCCATGATCAAACCTATACATAGAACATCCATTAACGTAATAGCAAGAATAGTAGCTAGGCTGTACCTGCAAAGATACTGTCCATTTGGTTGAAGTGTACAACAAAAACCAGTTGACAAGGTAAGATATTTGAAATTATGAACTTGCATTCCTACCTTGGTTGGCAATTGCTATCATGTGACTGTAGCATCATGTGTCGGAGGAGTGTCCCAAAAGACTGAGGGAGTGTGATCTCAAGTGTGGAGGCAAGTATCTGGCAGAGGAGTTGGAACAGCACATGGCCAGAGACTGCCACAGACGACCAGTCCCTTGCCAGTACTGCAAGCAACAACTGCCAATGAAAGACTTACAGGTATAGTTGCTGACTTTTTGGGACCGAGGACGCATATTATTATGTGTGCCATACATAATGTATGCTCATTCAGTTCCAACAACATTGGATAAATATGCTTTGCAATGACTAAGTATGCTGGCTTGCTTGCCAAGTTGCTGGAGTCGAACCTTTCATTGTGATTGATACAAGTAAACTGTTACAGTACTATTAGCAGCTTGTGTATAGGAAGTGTCATTTTCACACAACAGGATCATTACATGGGTTGTGACAGGCTCCTGGAGTGTGCACCCACTGCAAACAAACTTGAAGTCAAAAACTGAGGTATGCTTCTGTAGCAAGCTGAGAACCTTCCAGAAGCCTAGCTGTCTACGCCAATGTAGTGCGCGGTCCGAGAGAACGGTCGCAGTCCGTTCAGGACTCAATCTCTCTTCTTAGAGAGTGCTCACACATTATATAGGTGGTGATGTGTTGTGGTAATGTTTGTGGAGACAATTAGATAAACACCCAGGTGACAATGTAGGTCCAGGTGCTAACTGTAGGTGGCGTAGACAGCTGTAGGCTTCTGGAAGGTTCTCGTTCGTCTTGGCTAGCTCAGTAGTCTAAGATAAGCTTAAGTTTTTCAATTTGCTTGGGGGTCGCGGGAGAATAGTTAGGGGGAATGCTACTAGGATAGAGAATGAACTTGGGTTTTCGTTTGCTGCAGAACCGGACCAATAAGCTGACCATATGATTCAGCCTTTACTCAACCCTAGGAGGCACACTGTGTGTGAGGGTGCTCTCTTTGTATACCCTTGCCCCCCAGAATGTTGTTCTGATCTTGTATTCTCGTTCACACAGCCTATTCTGCCCATTCTTTAATCGTGGGCTTCCCATGCATTATGGTGCTTTGAAGTGCACTTTACAAACTCGTCGGTGGCAGTAGTGTTTCTGGTCGCATCATCTTGGTAATCTTGGTGTATTCGGGCTTTTGTTTTGCTAGGGGGAGTCAGAAACGCATTCTTGTACTAAGCGACAGAAGAGTCTCACTTTCGAAGTTATCGTCGGCGTCAAGCTTAATGCAGTGGCATCATATCGGATATAATCTCTGAATAATGCTGTGTGCATGCTCAATCTCGCACTACAAATATTCTTCTTAAAGCGCGACAAAAACTTACTTTCGATTTATTTTTGTTTCGGGTTGGTATGCAATTGTCTCGTTGAATATTTTTTACTTCGTATAGCGCTTTCATTGTTTGATTGGTTTACAGGGTGGTGAATCTCTAGAAGGACGTATATAGACAAGAGTATAGAGACACTTCATACATGGGCTGAGTGTGGTCATTGGATAGAATCGGCACTGATCGGTATGCATTAGCTGTTATTCTGAAAAAACACTAGTGGGCACCCGAATGTTTACGTTTTTACCCATTTTTTTCAATCGCGTTGCGTTACTTCAGCAAGAAGTTGCCTCCGTCGCAATTAAGCTTGGACGAGTGTGTCAGATGAAGCGTTCTTGGCGTAGTAAAGAGTTGTTTGAGCATGTCCTCCTTCAGTCAGGTGTGGCTGCACCTTTGAGATGCGGAGGGACTTGAAAGTTGCGTGTCTGTGAGTTAATTTTAGTGGTCGTTGAAAAAAAGTCATTGGTTACTCTAGCAGGCGGGAATGTGTCCATGTATCATGAGGTCAGTGCTTGGGTGCTGTGTGTGTGAGAATTTCGCTCGCTTAGCTCCGGTCCTCAGCATAACTGTCTCAGAAGAAATCATAGAGGATTGAGCGTGCTATTGAGGTGTGCTTTCGGTGAATCCACGCGCTCGCTAGATAGCCGCGAGTGTTGGCCAGAGCATCTGTCTCTCTCGTGGTCGTAGTGTTGTGTGTTGATACTTAGTAAGAACTGCGTCTTGGTTGCGAGTCTCTAGGTCAAAAGTCGGGACAGTGTTTTACGTCCATGCTATGGAGAATGCATGTTGGGTCTCTGGGTAGCAAAATCGCAATGTCTTGAAGGTGGGTGAGAGTTACCCGTTTGGATATCTCAGAAGAGTGCATTGTCTGCTGTTGGAAGGGATGTGTGAGTGTGTGTAGCTCTCTCAGCCTATATGCGCAAGTAATTTGCGAGAGTTATTACACAGATGATGGAGGGTAGTACCAGGATCCGTTGGTTTGTTGAGCATTGTTCGCTTGTCGTGTAAGTGTGAGGTTTAAATTCTTGGTTTTCATGATCTTAGTTGATTGTGAAACAGTTTGGGTTTGCTGTCGCGTGTCGAAATGTTGTGTGTTGCGGTCACATGTGCTCTCTCAGGCATCTCTCTAGACGGAAGGTGTTTTGTATGTCGACGTGTTAGACAGTGTAGCTTCCCAGGTGACAGAGCGAGCTACTTGAAAATGGCCTCTCATTGTTGTTGCCCAGATGTCAGGCATGGTTTTGCCGGCCCGACAGGTTACCCATTCATCATCGATTGTTTCAGACGAGACCACTAGATTTTGCGTATGGCAGTCGTCGTGTAGAACGGCAGTACACTCTCGTCGATTTTCGAGGCGTGTTCGCCATTCTGACTCGCAGACCGTATCGTGCAGATGTACTTGAAAAATTTGTCGAATAGCAGACCGCAACATTCGCCTCCGTATTGCTCCTTCCTTGCAAGGTACTTCAGGAAACTATGCGGGTACTGCACCTGCCCCAAGTAATCGCCTCCCTATCACGATCCACGTCCCTCTGGTCGTCCGAGAGGAGGCCAGCAGGGAAACCGCCCCATCTGGGAGAACTTCGCTCAGTAGAAAAGCACTGGGGGACTTCAGCACACCCCTTGCTCTGTGTGGGTTCAGGGACAAATGCAGTGGTACTACATCGAGCGTGTTTAGGTGGCTAGTGACTTTGCTTGGCCAGGAACCAGCAACTGTCTCTTCCTCACTAGTGTTGGTGCACAAAAGATTCTGGAGCGGGCCCCAGCCACCTACAAACATCGCACTCAGGAACATCAGCATACCAACCCTCTTGTTCATGTCGTTCTGGTTGTGGCTCCGAGGACGCTGTCATTTAGCTCCTCGTGTTGTCGAGTGGCCCAATTTGGGGTACGGAGTTCATGCCATTAGCGAGGTACCTTTCTTCAGGCAGGCAGCGAGCAGTCAGCCCATCATAAGTGGGGAGCGTAACTTTGCTGTGACCGACGAGTTGTGTCTCTCGTTGTTCGGTCCGTTACTTGGATAGCTGTTGTGTTTACTGCACGTGACGACGTGTGCCTCTCTCTTCTCTAGCTAAAACTGCAAAGTCAGCAATATAATTTTTGATTTAGCGGGGGGTTCGCTTTTTCCCGGGGTTTTATCCGCGCGTAAAAGGCGGAAATCTAGTACCTGTTTATTTGAAAAAACTGGCATCCCATACTCCGTTGAAACATACTTCGTTTGGGAGCGCTCAGTGTCGGCAGACGTTGTTCCATCTTGTTACAACTGTTATCGATGGGCCCACTCTTCTTTCCCTCCCTCGACCACGAGGAGCTGATGAGCCGCAGTTCTGCCAGGTTAGCGTACCCCATGTGTGTTCCACCCTTATCTGCCTTGCCGTTACCGCGGCCGCTGCGCCCCCGTTCGAGGTCGGGGTTTTTTTAACCTTTATGTCTTTTTTTCCAACCAGTTAAGGAGGAGGTCTTTATCATGTTTGTGTAGTCTATTTAGGTTTAAATGTAAGCTAATGGGTGCTTTATTACAGTACTTTGAAATGGGTACAGTATCACTCCGTCTGTCTGAATGCGTGGAGCAGGTTCGCCTCTTGGTAGCATTGGGTGGGAGCATATGGAGATCCTGCCGAGAGCACGTTTTCTATATACCCTGAGCTCATTCCCTTAAGCTACAACCCAGGTTGCATTTACTGTTGGGACATAGGTGTGAGTCAGAAATGATTCCAATTCGAGCTTTCTCCTAGGTTAACGTTCGACTATTTCAGTCGTTCCCAACTTTCTGCGGCTTGGTTCTGATTAATTGTAGCAAAAGTGAGATGAATCTGGCAAATGGTGAAGTCAGAGGTTCGAGTAGGATGGATTGTTTGCACCTCAGAGGCGGCTCAATATTAAGTCTGATCCATATGAGTGTATGGCCTATCTATGTTAACATTTTTGCCTGTTACTTGAGGAGCAAACCAAGTAATGGGTTTCTCTCACCCAACTCTGACCCAGTTAGGCAGTCATCAATCCAGGTCTGGGCCTAGATTCCGGATGGAGATATAGGCCTATATGATGTTTAGCACACTCCTTTGAGTGTGGTTATGTATCTCAGCCTAGCGTAGCTCGGCCTCCGGTGACATGATATTATGAATCAGCCTGCTGTGGCGTTCCACGTTGTGTGCGCGCGTGCATGTGGTTAAAGACGGGAATATCGTCAGCTGAGAATGATCGAAATTGCTACTCTCTAGAGGGAAGACTATCACATATAATGGCTCAAGTTCTCCTACTATACGAATATATATCAAAACCTTTTTCGTCTTCGTGCTTATACAAGACATGACATCTCCCTCCTCTCTTATGCTATTGTACAATTAAGCCTCCTTGTTTAATATGGGTCTCTTTATGATGCATATCCAAGGTAGTATCTGTCACAAAACTGGCATATTAACAGAATAACAAGCAATATAACTTGTTAACACAATATAAGCTAACAGTCTCTTTAAGTTCAATCTCCTCCTCACAGGCAACCAATTGCTTCACTGCGCGCACAAGTTTACATCCAAAGGTCTCGCACTCAGCTTTGACTATGTGTATGTATATATCTATCTCCTCTCATT